CCCAATCTCCTCTCCCCTAGCCCTTTAAGAAGGCCTGACACTCAGGCAAGAAATTCCCTCTCCTGCGCTTCAATGCGTTGTTTATTTTGTTTCGGAAAAGTATTTCGCCCTGCTTCAATGATCTTGTCTCAGATTGGTCAAAAAACTGACAGGTGAATTCATGCGTGGAAATGAAGTTTAGAGTTCCGAAACGAGATGAAACCGTTGATTGTTTTGTTTTCCCTTTCTCTGGGTTCTTTCTCGGGAGTTAAAAAATCCATTCATAAAGAAAAAGTAGACAGATCTTCATCGGCTTGTTCACTTGTTGCCATGTCTAGCCGGTTTAACTTTTTTGCGTAAGTTTTTCCCGTTATTTAATGAAAAATACTTCAGTCACTCGCGAGAAAAAAATTTTTTTCGTGAGGCATTTGTTTGCCGGACGTCGCCAGCGTGCACAATGGAAAATTGAAGGGTAGTCTGGAAAACCAAGAATCCGGAATTCCGCCGGAATTCCCCCGGAATATTTCAACGTCTATTTTTTAATTCAAAACGACTCCGATGATTAACTTATCTATTTTTTAACGGCCGTGAAACTAAATAATAAACAGCAAATCATTCATCAAATTATAGGTTAACATGGTCAGCGTCCCTTTAATCGGATCTTGATTATTCATAAAAAGGGTACAAAGAAAATATAGGAATGCCTTAGTCAGTCTGCCATTTACACAATTTCAAAGGTAAGCTGGAAAACCTGCAAGGTCTGTTGAGGAGAACTGAGGGAGGCCTGTCTCTAAGGGAAGAGCTTATCGCTTTCGTAAAGCAGTGCTTTCCCGGAATTGTAATTGGATAAATGGCAGACTGACTAAGGCATTGCTATATTTTCTTTACACCCTTTTAATGAATAATCGAGATCCAATTAAAGGGACACTGACCATGTCAACCTATAATTTGACGAATGATTTGCTGTTTATTATTTAGTTTCACGGCTGTTAAAAAATAGATAAGTTAATAATTAAAAATAAACAAAAGATGAAATTAAAAAA